ACCAAAACTCTGCACAGACAATGATAAAACATTTTTAAATGCACATAAGCGTGATTACTTTCAAAAATTCTCATGAAACTCAATCCAAAGCTTCTCTACAGCCTCAAGGGTGAAAGTTAAACGGACCTTGAAGGCCAAAGCATGTGAGAGGGAAAAACAAAAATTTTCATGCGGAATCACACATGCAATCAAGACTCATGCTTTAAGACAGCATGATGTTACCTTTGTTTGTGATTCAAACACCAAGGAGATCAGTGTAAGGTTTGAAGGGTTCAAACCCTCTAACGTTGATCCACACCACCCTTTGTCAAGACGGAAGAACTCTTCTTCAAGGCCACCAACTAACACCAAGGGAGGCAAGCTAGGCGTCCCTAATGGAGAGGTAGGAGGCAAGGTTTCAAGGTGTTTAGTTGAGTGAATTTTCAGCAAGAAAAAACACAAAAGTGGCGCATGGAATTCACTTAGAAAGTGCTAGGTAATTTTCAAAACTCTCTTAAGAAAGACCCCACAAAAGGATGACCAAAGGAGATGAGAGAATGAGTGAATAAAAATCTGATTTCTTCACTCAAAAATCAGCCATATGTAGCGCACACTAGGAGAGGAATGAGTGGAGTTGTTGCAAATCAAATCTTGCCAACAACCTCCTATCATATCCTCATGATATCAAGTGCATATCTCAACAAAAATCTGACTTAACAACCATCATATGGCCAGCCATATGGTGCGCCCCATTTAGCCTCAAAACAGTCCGGATACGTTGAGCAGTTGCATTCAAACTTGAACCAACTCACTCACTCACTTATTCTCTCAACAAACCAAATCTGATTGGAGCTCATTTGGTTGATCCTATGACCATCACAAGACCCCAAAATCAGCGCCCCAAATCAGCCTTGGATGATGCTCAAAGATCTCCTCTTGATACTTGGGATTTGTTCCAACAAGATCTTACCTTATCCTTTTGTTATGAAACAACTTTTCATAGCCAATTCAAATTCAAACATTTAAATTCAAACGTTCAAACATTTAAATTCAAAATTCAAATTCTAAATTTAAATTCAAATTTCAAAATTCAAATTTCAAATTCCAAATTTCAAATTCCAAATTCCAAATTCCAAATTCAAATTTCAAAATTCAAATTCAAAATTCAAATTTCAAAATTCAAATTTCAAATTCAAAATTTAAATATTTGATAATTAATTTAACCAATTAAATTAATTAGTAATGTCTTGGACCATCCAATCCCATTAATGATCCATGCGCCCTTTTCCCTTTTCGTGGGCTTCCAAACTTCTTCTTGGGCTAACAACCATTATTAGGCCCAATACCTTTAATGCTATATTATCATGAGAATAAGGTGTTAGTGTGTGACCCATTAGGCCCAACATAGCCACTGACATAAATGGGCTTGGGCCCAACAAGCCCACAACCCATCTAATGACAACACAGAGCACTAGCAATGTTTTGTTGCCCCAGAGCTAGTTAGGTTAATGACATAATCATCCTATTACACATATTTGGTTGCCGTATGTATTTCCTTTCGTCTCGGTTACCTTCCCATTAAACCTAGGGTAAGGAAACGTATCAACCCTTGTGGTTTAGGGTAAGCTTTATTCGAAATAGGGAATCTTCAATTTACTAACTCTAACGGCAGATCATCTCATGACCTCTTTTACTATGCATAGATTCCCGAGTCCTGTAAATGTCATCCTGATTTCTCCGGTTTATAGATAACCTAATCCCTTACAGAGATTTGATGAATTCCTTCAGCTTATCACCCTAGGCCTATGCTCTTTCAGGACATGCCCAAAAGTATACCTATGAGTCTCCATGTTTCAGGCAGACGAGGTATACAATCAAAACATGCCTTCTAGAACACAGTCTAGGTGACAACTTATGGTCTAAGAAAAGACATACCCAAATATTAAGAGACTGCTCTAATGATATTTTTGTAAGATTTCCTCATAAAGTCTCTTTGGGGGTCTGTTCAGTGCGAGTTATATCATTATAGGTCCACCCACGACTTTAGCTAAGACATCTCTATATCTGTAGCAGATGAGGTCTTTACCTTGTATCCAAATACAAGTAGATAAGTTGTGCTAGTCTTACCCGAGATCACTGATCCCTATTCTCAGTGTCTCTAGACTAGGAACATAGAATTAGGAATAAACGTGTGGTATCCTTGAATCCTCATAATCGTGATCTCATCACAGATACTCAAGAAATTCCTGTTCTATTCCAAGGGGTTTATCCAGTTTATTCATAATATATTAACAATAATATCGAGACAAAATATGAAACAAGATAAAGAGTGTTTATTATTTATTTGCGACAAAAAGGTCCACATCCTATGTCCTTATTTAATCAAAAAGATTGTCTCTAGGACACCCATATACTAACAAAGGGACTCAAATATAAACAATTTCTCTAAAGCTTCTCTACGGCCTCAAGGGACCCAAACATAAACAATTTCTCTAAAGCTTCTCTACGGCCTCAAAGGAACCAAATATAAACAAATTCTCTGCGCGCCTAGTTGACCTCTAGGTGCGGACCTCCATCACTGTAGGGCGTCCCCTACAATGTCAACTACAGAAAATGTCCCCAATCTACTGGACATTGGCGCCAAGCAATGTAAATTCTTCTAGGATCCTCTTCGCAACATTCAATGTTGCTTACCATTCAGCCATTTTCTAAGGCCAACAAAACATACACAAACACTAACCATCATACCTTTTCCTTTAGTAACAATTCATGTCATGGTTACTATGGCAGCTCAGCACTTCGTTAAAGAAGTAAACTCACTACAAACCCAATGACATACATTTACTTGCAATCAATTCCTTACATATATGTATATAATCATATACTCTAGCACAAAATATATGGAAAGCAATCATTCTGGGCTATAAATAAGTTTATAGCATAATTAAGAATTCTGCCCAACAGCATATAATTCCTTCAGCCATCATATGAAACATGGTGCCTCATACTCTTCATTCATTTAGTTCAGCCTTTCAAAGAAGAGACATACCAACCATAATTTTTAACAAATATCACTAGTCATAATGAAGGGTTTCAGATCATATAAGAGATGTTCAAGTTCAGTTCTAAGAGGGACAATCGAATTCATTCAAATAAATCAGTTGAGGCCCTTGCTTCCATGTAGAACAGAGTTTATAATATCCACACTTAGTCCAGCCATCCATTTTTGGTACCACCGAGAAATATATTGCCACAATGCATATGATATCGACATCAGCTTCAGTTTCTAATCATGATAGCAATTAACTTTGACGGCAAACAGATCTGACATGGTTCTGGCAGCTTGCATTCAATCCAGTACTGGGCACACAATTTAGCTCCATAAATCTTGAAATTTTAACACGTGAAACTAGACATCTAGGGCTTTAAAATGATATCTCATTTGCTAAATTTGGTTGAGAATTGAAGGACTTAAGGTCTTTGCAATACAGGGTGTGAAATCCTTAAAGACTGACGAAATACGATTTATGGGAGCCTTGATTCATCATCAAACTGGAAACAACAGCTAGATTTAAAAATTCTAAAAATTTGGATTATAAAACTAGACATCTTTAGCTTTAAAACTGTACCTGATTTTATAGTTTTTAGACTTATATGGATCAAGTTATAGAATTTTCAAGATGGCTGTCTAACTGTTTGTTTAAAAAATAAAAATGACAGCGAAATTCTCATTTCTTGGGGTTGTGAAAACTCTATAGAACACTTATCCATTCTCTTAAAGCCTGGATGCATTGTAATCATTTAATACAATCCTTAAATTTTCTAACTTGGGGTATAATTAATCAATTATACTAACTAAAACAGAAGAATCACAGAGGTACTTTGGTGATGACAGTAGGTTCATCTAATGGGAGGTGCTGGAGTTAATTATAAAGTCCTTAAGTTGGTGCATATGATATGTATTCCAAACAACATTCTCTAATACTTGAGTATCATTAAATCCCATGCAACAAAGAATATCAAACATGCATTCATTATTTAGTCCAATAATAATTATCTATGTTTATCAAATACCTAACATAAATCAGTCCAACCATTTAGCAAGAAAACCGTAAAGAAAAAGGGGGAAGAGTCCTAAGCTCACCTAGGACCGAACCAAGAGTAAGTAGACCAGCTCCTCCCCCAAAATCTCAACACAAAACTGCCCTTTCTTCTTCAGCTGAATTAGGACAAGAACCAGGTTTCCTTCCCACTTCTTGAGCTCACCGTAGCTTCTCTTTCCACATGCAGAGTGGCACAGCGGTTTTCAATGGCTGAAAATGCATTACTTTTTCTCATGCATGTGGGGTGGTCTGGAAACAATTGGTGAAGATCTCCTACTCTCCCCACGATGGTTTTCAGGTTTGGGTAAAGAGTGGTTACAATTTGGACAGATTCTATGGAATCGTGCCAATGATAGAAATTCTACACCCTAACATGCACCCTTGTGATTAAAATCACAAGGCTTATAATTGAAAGGTGTAAACAATTGCTAAGGACCTTCCCACACCAGAACATAATCTTGTAGCTTATTAGTCTTTATACACTTCAGCCACTTAAACTCCCATAATTTACAAATCTGTCTTGTAATTTCTCAATTCCAAAAATTTTCCTTAAACTTTCCAAGATTACACAACAGTTGTTCCTAGGAGCTAGATTACATTATAAGGGGTGTTATAGTAAATGAATACAATCAGTACATAGATACCCAAAATGAGGTAGCAATGGCTGATTAATGTTCCCCAACACATACTAGAAATGAGGGACTCAATTCAATATTAAACAATTAAGTGGCAATTGGCATGTTATTCCTGAACCAAAAATTGGGTAATTGCCACTATAGCAAAATAACAAAAAGAGAAATAAACGCTTTCATTAAATAATAGTATAATACAGTTTCAAAAAATGCATTCACAGCAGGACAAACCAATAACATTTCAAAATGCATCTGCCGAAACAAAGAAGTCAACTAGAGAGTAGAGAAATACCGTAAATGCATTTACTGAGCAATAGAGGAATAAATACAAATTCAAATTAGCTGCTTTTGCTATCATCCGAGCAACTTTCAAGTGCATGAGTACCAGAAAACAAAAACAGGTATTTCAACAGCAAGATAACCTATCAGTTCATTTCGATGGATTCAATTACATGTGATAGTTAAGAGCTTATAAATTAGACCGGTCATACCCTTGCTTTGAATGCACCCACTACGCCGCACAAGAACCCAACTTCTCCGAACACATGACGGTTATCCTCTTCTGAATGTGAGCCTATTTAAAAGATATATCTGGAATAAAACGTTCAATGAAATGAGGAAAAAAATGCATCCTAAAATCAGCACTTTTAAGGGTTTTCAGGTGCAGGATTGTCACGTTCATCTTCATTGTTGTCGGCATTAGCTGGCTTCTCTTGATTCAGGATGCGTCCAGTTAAAGCATCGACGGGGCGCATATCACGCGGTCCACCTTTGCGTCCCATTGCCACCATTGGTGGTGGGGGCAGTAACCCTGCTCGGAACAGAAGACGCTCTACAGGCTCTGAAGGTTGAGCCCCAACAGAAAGCCAATACCTAAAGAAGGAAAAATCAAAATCAATACTTTCAGAAACATGACAACAGATTTCTGTCCCATTCACTTCATAAAATGGACAGGACCAAGGGAACCTTAGTTTGATTACATCACATGAATCAAACCTGTAACCTAAGACCTCTATGTCACTATGTCAACAATACCAACAGTTCATAAACATGAACATATGGACTAATACATAATCAACCTACCAGAAACATATTCATTTCTTCCTTAGAGACAAACTGACACATGTAATTTAATTATAATCTTAGAATTATAGAACTATACGAGGTACAACATGAAAAGATCATCAATTTCCTCAAATTGGCAAAGAAAGAGTTTACTTACTTCACTCTATCAAAGCTGAGACCCATTCTTTTCTCACCATCTTGACCTGTGCAGAAGCAAAAAAGAAACTAGTTTGTTGAGTTGAACCATCCCTGTAATTTTCAATCCCCTTTGGGAATTCGAAAAAATTAAAATTAAAAAAAATAAAATGCAGAAAAGTGAGAACCTGGTAAGGGATTGTAGTAACCAAGAACTTCGAGGTGCTTGCCATCTCTTGGGGATCTGCTATCAGCAGCCATCACTCGATAGAATGGCTTGTTCTTGCAACCGAACCGAGATAACCGAATCCTAACCACCATTTTCGAATTCAACCGTCTTTTCCTTTTTCCCCAAACCCAATCGAAGAGGGAACAACACAACACAACACTTACACAGCACTCTCTGGCTCGCTGTCACGATAGGGTTTTGGGTTTACCCGCCAAACGACGACACTTTGTTCTGCGTCTGTGTCGTTGGCTCATTCATACAAGGCTCAAAACGACGGAAAAATAAAATAGCACTTTTGAATGGTTTTTGCTTTTTCCTTTTTTTGTCCTCTAACATTTTTTTCCTTGTTTTTTAAATTTTAGATTAATTTTAGCCAAAAAAAATATTTATTTCAGTTACAATATTTTATTGAATTATAATTTCCTTAAACACCTATTGTCAGTTTTTTAATTAAATTCCCCAATTAAAAGATTAGATATTTCAAAAAATTTAATGTTTGTAAAATCTTGATTATTCCATTACTCCAGCGATGTACATTTTATTTCCTTTGAGAATAGCTTTTTGTGGTTTGCCCTTTTTCGTTTCCTCATAAAACACACGAAGTTCAACTTTCATATAACAATCGAAAATTAACTTCTTCTTTTTATTGTTTTGGTAGACAGAAAATTAAACTATTAAAAAATATAGAGTAAATATCATTTTGGGTCCCTAACAAAAAACACAATCCCCACTTTAGTCCCTTTCAAAAATAAATTAGTCAGTTAGTCCCTAACAAATTCAAAGTGGACCTATTTTAGTCCTTTTGAGGGATTAATATGGATCTTTTTTGAATTTGTGAGAGACCACGATTTCAACTAAATGGGTCCACTTTGAATTTATCAGAGACTAACTGACTAATTTATATTTGTAAGGGACTAAAGTAGAGATCGTGTTTTTTGTTAGGAACCAAAAAAGATATTTACTCAAAAATATATGAATGTGCCTTAAATTTGGAGTCTTGTTACATTATCATTTACATTACGGCTTTTCGACCATTGTAGTATTTATTTAATAATTAATTATCAAATTGACCTTGAATATAAACTATTTCAAAAATTTAACCTCTTCAGAAAATATAACACCAATCTGCCCATATTTGACCGTTGACTGTTGACCATTGAGCCTACCAGGGTAGCTCCCTCCCTACCCGGGTATTTTTTGAAATTTTTTCCTACCCGGATAGTCAAGGGAATACCCGGGTATATTTCAAAATTCTGAAAAAATATTTGAATTATTTACCTGGGTAGGGAGGGAGCTACCCGGTAAATAATCATACTAATTCACATTCTTCATTTCCATGACCCAAGCAACCATAACGGCCCCATCCCCACGTGCAAACACGACCATCCTGCCCCACCACCGCTGCCATGCAGAGGCGGACGCAGGTTGTGGAGAAGGGGGCAAGTGCCCACTGTAAGAACCCGCACCATTAATTAAAGAAGTTAATTAATTAATTGTGTAAAATTAGGAAATAATTTTATAATTGACCCTAATAATTATTGTAAAGCTTAGATAATTATGGTAAGTGTTTTATAATGCTGAAAATCGCTTTTCTGACGAAAAGTGCAGATACCGGTTCTGCTACTCGGTATAAATGCGTACCGATGAAGTATCCCGGAAAATTATGAAAAGTGTGTATATATCACTAGAATAATATATAGGAGTTGTAAAACAAGTTTCAAGTTAAAATAATGAAAACTGGTGCCAGAACTGATACTGGCTATGGAAAAGCGCGTACCGAAAAAGTGCTGCGAAAAATAAAATAAAATATGATAAATCTTATAAAAATGAGTAGGTTCATAATCTTAAGTTTGAGATTAAATTGCTAAGTGTAGCAATTAGCGCTAATACAGTGCGATTAAAGCTTCAGTGGCCTATATAAGGCCTTGGCACACATTTCTAGGTCAGATTTTGTGCACTCCTACGTGAAGTTTCTGAAGGAGCTGCTGCCACCCTTCTTCCTTAGCCTTCCTTGCTTGAAAATGTTTCAAGTCTTCACATTTTCTCTCATTTTCTTCACCTAAACACCTTGTGTGAGTGTGGGGTATCCTTGTGAGTGGGAAAGGTGCATCATTTCTGAGTTGTTAGCCTCTATTTTGTGTGTGTGAGGGCTGAGTTCTTGAGTGGAGTTGTGGAGAGCCTTTGTCATGGTATTTTGAGGTCCAAGGGGTGACCTTTGTGAAGAAAGAACCAACCTTTGGTGTGCCATTTTCGTGTGCCTTGAAAGTCTGAGCTTGAGGAGCAGTTTGGTGAGCTCCAAGAGCCATTATACCTCTTTTTTGAGCTTGGGTAAGCTTTACCACCTTTGATCATGAGTTTTAATGGGTAAAAGTGGAGTCTTGGTATGTAATATGTTAAAATGAAGTAACCAACACGTATATAAACCTGTATATGCCTAAAAATGGATCCTTGGACGTATAATAATGGTAAAAGTTGGACCTTTGAGTGATATCTTCGTGAAAATGCAGAACTGCATTCTGTTGTGAAATATCCGGATATGATATCCAGATATTGATATCCGGATATGATATCCGGATATGGGGTCTTGTGATATCCGAATATGGATATCCGGATATGATATCCGGATATAGGATATCCGGATATGGGATATCCGGATATGCCCCGACGAATATCCAGATATTCTGGGTTTGCGTGAATAGTAACGGTATTGTTCATACAGAACTGAGTTATGGGTTTGTGGTCCCTAGATTGTGGAAGTTGAACTTCTGTAATGATTAAGTTAAGTCAGAATCAAGGGATTAAGGGCTTGGGGCTTTGTGAGAAGCCGTAAGACTTAGAACGCAAAGGAAAGGCGTTGTCTTTATATCGTATGCTTGTAGAGTATAAATATTGATGTTGTTATTGGTCCTAACAGATTGTGATTGTGTTGTGTGTGGACCTTGAGCATGTGTAAACTCTTGGCTTGGATAGCTAGCTTGCAAGGTAAGATTTCGTGTCCTCAGCTTAGCCATTGTTTGTTCCACCATGTCCCATGGGGGGTGGTTATATGCATGATGTGTTTTCATGTACTGTTTTATTGAAATGCTATGGAGCTGTTAAGTGCAAAATGCTTATGATATATATGTGGTGTTTCGCCTAGCTAGGAAGCCATGGGGTGGTCCTGGGGGCGGGTACAGCATGGGCTGGTATTGTGTGGGTAATAGACGTATTCTTGCACTTCTCTGATCAGTAGAATAGTTATAACACACATGACATGATTATCTGCTGCATTGCACTGATTTTAGAATTGATATTGAATTACTACTTTTGGAACTTATATTGCACATGTAAGTGAGCTTGGGGTGAAAGATCCTTGAGGACCCCTTGTCTTACTGAGATTTCTGTTTAGAGATCTCACCCCACGTTTGAGGCACATATTTTAGGTTCAGGTAATGCGGGGGTTGAGACCTCTAGCAGCAGGAGGCCGGAGCTTAGTTGATTGCATGCTATTATGGTGATTTTGCTGGATACCGACATTGATGTATCTTTACTGTCATGTTATTTGATTTGAGACTACTGTTGGGCGTTGTTGCCTTATTTGGTGAGCATGGGGGTTGTCCATGTCACATTAACTTGACTTTATGTTTTTTTGTTGTTTCAAGTCGTATAATTGTATCAGGATTATGTCCGGACTATGTGTTGTAGATCCGTGATTTACATACTCACTTATTTATTTATGAGGTATTTCAGTTAGCTGTCTATTTGTAATTTACATACAGGCAATATTTTGAAAATGAATTAGGTAATTCAACTTGGTAATGACATGTTAACAAACTTGGTTAACACGGTGGTGTTACACCCACCCTTAAAATTTGATATGAAAATACCAAAATACCCTTCACTTAAAATTAAGTTTCCTCCTATTTTATTTTTTTGCTTTTTCTCCTCAACGGCTCCACCCATGACCAGTGACCTGACCATCTCCATTAAAACAAATCCAAACCTAAGTACCTAACTAACAGCAGTCATTGGAGACGGAGAGGAGAGAGCTCATACGATTTTTGTACGATTGGTTTATTCTCTTTATTGGGCAGCTTTTTATGCCTCAAATATCTGCTCTGTACACATTCTGTGTAAGTTGTTTAGCTCATCAGTCACCTTCCTTTATAATTTTTGACTGAAGTATCGTCCATTTTTGTTAGCTTGAATTACTTGATCTCCTTGTTTTTCATCATCCATTAAAGTACATATTTTTCCCTGTGACTCACTCGTATTAGCATGTTCGAAAAATAGCTTTGCTTTTAGCTTGTTTAATGATTGTTGATTGTAGCACTCAATATCATTTCAGCTCAGAATGGTAGAGGTAAGCCTCTATTGTTTGAAGAACCGACAGAGAAAGAAGATGAGAAGGAAGAAAAGTAGGAAAAGGGAACAGAGAGATGAGAGAAAAATGCTTTTCTTTATTAAAGTTGATCAACGTACAGTATATGTCAACCTCTCCCTTTTTATCACATAATCACTATGAACCATCACAACTTGCTTTGTTGTTGAGTGTCCAGTGGCCACCCTTCATCAATTTCCTGGATCCGCCACTGGATGTATCCATGGCAATATGTATCAAGATGGACCAGAAGAAACTGAAAGTGATTGCTTTTTTGGAGTTACCCAACCCTAATTATCTCTTTGAGACGAGTTGGCTCCCTCCGGTATCCCCACGAGCTTCGACTCTTTTGAGCCGGCTATGAGACTAATCCGGAGTGCGGGGGAACAGTGATTGCTTCGTCAAAAGACATAACTAAAAGAAAATTGTTATAATTACAGGTAAATAGCAAAGTAGTGTAAGCTTTTCCTTGTGGAAAGTCTTTAGTGTGCCAAATCAAAATTAGGCCTAAGCAAAAAATAGTTTCAACAATTAAGGACAAAATGAGCCCAAAAGCAATTGGGTTTTAAAACCATAAATGTGGGTTTAATACTATAATAGGTGCTTAGGGTTTAATATTATTGTAAATCTATTATATGTTGTCTTATATAGGAGTTTAAGATATGCTGCCAAGAGTGTTTTGTATGCCTAAGATATTTCTGTGGGGTGTTTGGTATTTTTTTTCCTGGAAAGTGACCCTGGCAACTTGAAAATCCCATGTTTGATAGAAGGGTGTCCTAAATTTGTCCTGGAAAATGTGGGTTCCTAGGAAT